TCAATTTTGCATAAACTCCATTTTTAGCGCCAAAAAGGTATTTATATGGCGTTCATGTAACTATTTTTATCAATAATAAAAACAGCAAGAAAACAAGTTTGTTACAGTAATATAGTATAATAATGTCTTTAATATGTTAAATATTAAGATAAACCTATTATTTTTAAACTTGATTTAAAAAATTTAAACTTCGCTTTTACTTATTTAAAGGCGGTTAAATCAATCGCAATTTAATATTTACAGGCTATGATTTAATTTGAAAATTCCAAGCGCTGCATGTCATTAAAATTCGATCAATTCAAGAAAGAAAATTTTATGAGTTCTACAGGTTATTATTTATCTACTTTTCAAAAAGGCGCTCCTTCTTTGGCAGACAAGTTTTATAAAGCTAGAACTTTTTAACCTTATATAAAATAATTAATAAGAAAAAAAATACAAATAAAGATATAGTTTAAAAAACGTAAAATAAATAAAGAAGAACTCGAGTAGGACCAAGATGTCACCGAGAAACCGCTCAAGCTAAAGTAGAATGATTTGGATGATTATAACGTTAATATTTAAATGTATATATACATGTATATATATATATATATATATATATATATATATATATATATATATATATATATATATATATATATATATATATAATATATATATATATGCAACCCTTGGAATTAGGAAAAAGGCAATAATTTGTCGACATCATTCAAAAAAGCAAAAAAATTTGATTCACAATTAAACATAGAAACAAGGTCAGCATTATTTGTCGACCTCAAACACTTTAGGCTGTTTTTATTTAAAATTTATTAAAAAAAAAAGATTCTGTTTTCAATGTAGTTATTTTCTCCTTAATTTTAATTATTTTTTCTTTCAAAAAATTGTCTTTCGCGACCAAATCTCTTTAAATAATAGAAAATTGTCTCCTTAAAATCCATACTTTTAGCGTCGTTTTTAATAATCTAAACCCTGATTTTGTTTTTGCTAAAAATACAAAATAAATGTCAATAAATAAAAAGAAAATGAGTTTTGTTAAAATTTAGAATTAGTAGAATTAGTTAAAATTTAGAATTATTCGTTATTATTTTTTATTAGTAAAAATAAGTAGAATTTGTAGTATTTGTTAAAATTCAGAAATAGATAGTGTCAAACATCAATTAGATACAGTTTAAAGTTAAACAGAAAAGTTTAAAAAAAAATAAATAATTACTAATGCTTAGAAAATAACACTTGTAAGAATATTTTTTACTTTTACGTAAATTTTATTTACTTGTAAAATAAGAATTTATTTTTAGGAGCGTGTTTTTGTCAAATACATGTTTGTATTTAGTAATATTATGTTACATTTTTGTTTTGTATTTCAAAAAATCATATTGCATTTATTTAAGTATGCATTTAGAAATCTAGAATTGATGTGTTAGTAGTTTTTGTATTTAATTTTGTTTTAAATAAAAGAAGTTTTATTCGATTAAATGTATTTAACCCTGAAGTTCAATTTTATTTTGGCCTTAGGTTTTATAAAAATAAAACATTGGTATTGGCTAGAGTTCATTTTATGTAATGGAAATGTAGTATAGTTTATTTTATGTAATATTCCTTAATGAATTTTTATTAGTAACAACTTTTTTAATTCATTCAGCTCCTCCAAAATTTGAAAGTCTGTGATTCAAAATTTTGCTTTTCCCAAAAAAAAATTAAAGAAAATATATAAAGTCAATGATAAATATTAAAGTTTTACAACGATTAATGTAAGTAATATTTATTCTTGTAATAACTATC